TATAGAAAAAATAAAGTTCAAAGGAAAACAGTAAAAACATGGGCGGCTCCAGCACTGCCAACATACAGGAAGAAAACTCAAAATTAGAGTTCCTTCCCCTGAAACTGTGAATGCACTAGATTGAGGATTGAGGACAAAACAAACAGAAAAAGAACACATTAAAAACAGAGAATGGAAAAATGAGCTAAAAGAATATTTAAGTAAAAGCCCAACTCCAGTAATTAGAAATAAAACTACCTTTGGAGTGGGGCTCCTTATACTGCAAGAGCTAAATGTCCAGGGGTGCAGGATAAGGAGTAAACAATTACATAAGGCTGGCCACATATGGATTTATTTCTTCGATCAGCCAGCAGGTTGATCAAAAAAAAAAAGAACAAACAGATTCCCCCATCCACACAAGCAAGCTGGGTGGCGGAGTCCTCCCAAGCTGTGTTATTGTATTCTGACAGAGGGGACAGCTTCAATGCCAAATACACTGAACAGTGTGATCTCCAAGATCTTGATTGACAAAAGTCAATTTTTGGATCGACTAATTCAAGTGGGAATTACCATAGATCAGTGGTTCTCAACCTGTGGGTCGCGACCCCTTTGGGGGTCGAACAACCCTTTCACAGGGGGCCCCTAAGACCATCAGAAAACACATATTTCCGATGTGTAAAGAGCAGCTACTGTGTAGAAAGCAGCTGCTGTGTTGAAAGCAGCTACTCTGTTAAAAGCAGCTACTGTGTTGAAAGCAGCAGTATTGGAGGTAAAACGACACTCATGAATTATAATTACTGGGTAAATAATTTTATGGTTGGGGGTCACCACAACATGAGGAACTGTATTAAAGGGTCACGGCATTAGGAAGGTTGAGAACCACTGCCATAGATGGAGCAAAATGCAGCCGTTCCCTGCTGACCTGGCTGAGTTTCGATCCATCTATGGTCAGTTTTATTCTCTGCTCCAGCAGGGTCCCTGTAACAATGCAACCGGCCTTCTTTAAGGTGCTCCTGGCTGCGGTCACTTTCTCGCCCCCCCCCCCATACAATCCAGGGTTAATAGCCTGCATAGTACATGATGACGTCGAGGAATCGTCCACAGTTCAGAGACTTGGGGAAAACAGGGTACCGTATTTTTCGCCGTATAAGACGCACTTTTTCTTCCCCAAAACTGGGGGGGGGAAATGTCAGCGAATATGGAGCAGCCGGTCCGGTATTTTCCACCGCGGCCGTGTCAGAATACCGGGCCGGTGCCGCTCAGCTCTGCTTTTTGTGAATGGTAAGGGACCTTACCTGTTCCTCTATCCAGCGGCGTGCTGTCTTCCCAGCTTCTGTAGTGTGGGTACTGGGCATGACAGCCGGGTGCCAAGTGCGCATGCGCAAGAAGCGGTGCTTTTTGTGAATGGTAAGGCGGTACCTGGGACACATGACAGATCCCAGAAGCCGCCGGACCAATCACAAAGCGCAAGTGCTTCTTGCTCATGCGCACTGGGCACCCGCTGCTGTCATGCCGAGCGCCATTACAGAAGCCGGGAAGACAGCACGCCGCTGGATCGAGGGACAGGTAAGATCAAACAAAAACTCTGCGGAAGTAAGAGCGGGTACCTGTCAAATTCAGGTACCCACTCCCCACCTCCCCAAAGGTCAGCAGTCATCTGTACTGTCCGCAGTCTCTGGTCATCCCTGTGCTGTCCGCAGTCTCTGGTCATCCCTGTGCTGTCCGCAGTCTCTGGTCATCTCCTGTACTGTGTCTGCAGTCCATTAGTTCAGAATTTTTTTTTTCCTGTTTTCTGCCTCTAAAACCTAGGTGCATCTTATGGTCAGGTGCGTCTTATACGGCGAAAAATACGGTAAGTAGCAATGCCTCTTCCTGTACCCCCTAGACATAACAACCATTTACCCCTTGCAATGCGAGAGTGCTCGCTGCAACAGAAGATATTTTTTTTTTTATTTCTGTGTGTCTCATGTCTATAGTTGAAGACAGATGATTTTTACAGACATAATAAATGTAAATTTTGTTACTTTTGATTAGAGTGGTGAAGGGTTAGAATGTCTGTCAGGTTTATATTGTTGTCTCTGTCCCCACTGGGAATCTTTCCACTTGTTGACATATCATGATGGGAAATCTTACGGAAACCAAGACAGCAGAACTCTGGGGAAAACTCTAAACTACCCTTGGATCGGGGTTCCCCTGCACTTCAGGGCTTAAATGCTCATGTTTGTCTAGGGTACTTTTAAATGCAGTTTTAGTTACTTTATCCCTAGGTCCCAAAGGTTTCCTCCTCTCCATGCAACCAGTCCTTTAGGCTTCTTTTCTTCACTGCTCTGTCAGTTGCACTCTGACATCATCACCTACAATCCAGAACCAGCAGTCCTGCATTGTGAGGATGCCAAGGGCCCGCCAACAACTCGGAGCATCATAGGGAAGAATAGAGTGCCACCAGCCGGGATTAGGTAAATTGCTTTAAAAAGGTATTCTAGACGAAAACAAGCATTCTCAGCATTTTCCTGGGAATATTCAAAACCAACCTTGTAGTGGGGCACCTCCAACAATATTGCAAAAGTAGTTTTTAATTTTCCTGGAGGTCAACTTTAAAGTGGTATATAAACCCAGCGCAAACATGAATTATACTTCAGCTTACCAATTCTTAAATGTGATGGCTGCATTCCTTTTCTTTCTTAGGCTTTTTATTATTTTCACCTGCTGATCTGACCAGTAAGTCTATTTTTTAAAAGAAAAGGCTCTCTTGCAGATGTATCAGTTTACAGGGATGAGACAAACCATCCAACACTGGCAGGAGTGCTTACAATGATCAGTTTTTTTTTTATGTAAAACCCTTTTTTTATGTAAAAATGTAATCAGTTACAGCATACAATTTCCTTTTCATTTGAGATAAAACCTTTATCTCAAATGAAAAGGAAATTGTATGCTGTAACTGATTACAAAGTGTGGGCTGGCACTTGGATTCAGTTTGTTAGTGTATCCAAATCTGCTAGTCCATGTAACGTTACCCTCCCCCTCCTGCTTTAACTTTTCCCTACTCTTTCCAAAACTAAAAAAACATTTTGGCTGGACGTATGTTATAGTGTGTGCATGGACAAGAGAACAAAATAACATATTTAGTACATCTTTCCATTACCTGTATTTTTCCTCATGTTTTGTCATTTTACAAATAATACAAGTACAGAAAAAACAGGGGACAATGTGATCCAGCTCACAGCCGGAGTGTGCCAGGAATGGACATTGAGCTGCGCATGCACAGCTCAGTGTACATTCAATAAGAAATCTACGAGCAGGCAGTTGTGTATTATTGCAAAAGAGACATAGCATGCATCTTCTGCAATAAAAGAGCTGCCTGTTCACAGTTTTGTAAAAGTTAGGTTTAGTTTTGCTTTAAGTTAGTTGTAAACCCTTATATGTGTATGTGTATGTATGTATATGTATATATATACATATATATATATACACATATATATATATACACACACACACACACACACACACACACACACACACAGTGAAGTGACTGGCCTCAGGTGATGCAACGAAATAAAATAAATCCTCCTACATAAGCTGTACCTGTAGTCTTCTCTTCTCTACATCTATTGAAAGTGCTGACTTTCTAAAGCTTGTAGAGCTGTCAAAAGAGGAGGGCGGAGAACTGAACTTACACTCTGCAGAGCTCAGTGAGGAGAGCTCTGAGAGCTGATTGGAGGGGAGGGACACCACCCCCCCCCCCTCCACACAGCACACAGGAAAAAAGCTGAGGCTATCCATCTGTTGAAGGTCCCTCCTCTGTCACCATTTTTCTCCTGGTGTCAGGAAAACTTGTCAGAAGTGACTCATGCAGATAACAAAGGAAGGAAGCAGCAGACAGAAATGACGCTTAGTGCTCTTAATTGAGACAATTACACACAATAGAAGGATATACTTTGTTCATGTTTCATGTCTGATGTTTACAGCCACCATAAAGTGGATTTAAAGGTTCAAGGATTTTTACCTTTATGTTTTCTATGCATGAAGGTAAAAAAAACCTTCTTTGTGTAGACCCCCCCCCCCCCCCCAAATCCTTACCTGAGCCCCCTCCAATCCAGTGACGTTCTCGACAGCCTCTGCTGTCTGGGGACTCTCTTTCTCCTCACTGGCTAAGACAGCAGCGGAAGCCCATTGGCTTCCACTGCTGTCAATCACAACCAGTGAGCCAATGAGGAGAAAGAGTCCCCAGACAGCAGAGGCTGTCGAGAACGTCACTGAATTGGAGGGGGCTCAAGTAAGGATTTGGGGGGGGGCTACACACAGAAGGTTTTTGAACCTTGAACCTTTAGAGCCACTTTACAGTGCGGGGCGGGGCCACGGCTCTATGTGTCTTATGGATGCATAGAGCAGTGGCTCAGGGACAAGCATGCAGCGGTGCCCCTACGGAGAGCGGCTCACTGCTTGAGGGGGAGGAACAGGGACCCGAAAAGAAGAGGCCCTGGGGGCTGCTCTGTGCAAAATCACTGCACAAAGCAGGTAAGTATATACAAATTTATTTAAAAAAAAAAAAAAAATTATCTTTAGTGTCACATTAAAGTCTCTTCTAGTTCTGTCTGCATCAATGTTGTTTACCTGTAATCATCTATTACCATGTTGTTGCTCCATTAAATACGTAGACTCCACTTGGTAGTGCTGCACAATGTCTGTGCACTACTAATGCCCCAATCCACTTGTTCCACAACCCGATTAAAAGTTGAGTACATCCTCTACCCTTCCACCTCCTTATTAGTTATGTAATCTGACACATGGCCTGCACAACCAATATGAGGGTACAGGAAGTGGGGATGGAACCAAACTCAACTTCTTCAAGAAATTCAAGATTTAGAAATAACTTCATCTGCCTATACTGCTCCATCTACTGATCAGGTTTTATCATTTATCATTGGCTCAGCTTGCCCAGGTTCCCAAAAGGTGCTGTAAAGAAACCTTAGATATTTTGGAGACAATTAAACAATCAAGCTGGTTTCTCGATATATACTCACACTCCAGTCAACGGTGCTGCGTATTTGGGATTCTTGTGCATCGCTGTGCGGGACATTAGAGGACGTTGTGAGGTGCTGGCCTCCAGATTTGGCAATGGCTTTTCTGTAAAAAAACAGCATGCATCTGAGAGTGGGTAGATGACCATTTTATATTCATATGCAGCTCATGTATCTGCCTAAGGCAGACTCAATGTCATGCAGTTCAGGCTTCATTTTACATCATCTTTATACCAAAATATAAGGTACCTTGCTGCTACCATAGAACATAAGTAATCCACCAAGCCTGTCTGGACCAATCCAAATCCACTGGCGCCATATTGGAGGATTCCTCATCATAAGCCAACAACTCCTTCCTGCCTGACATGCCAACCCACCAATCCTTTTGTATGAACAAAGACATCTGTACCATCACTTTGGATTTGCTTTGCCTGAAGTTCTGGCACCTTACAGGCGAAGGACAGGAATTGGGTTTAGGTAAAGAGGTTTCACTTATTTTGTTTGAGTCTGAGACTTTTTAAAGCACAAGGCGGAGGGGGTTCTGTAGTTCAACTGGTAAAAACTTTCTGATTGATTGCTCTTTACTTCTTATTTATCAAGCCCAGGAGGCTGGCTAATGGGTAAGTGGTAAATTTCCCTAATGGGACAGACAGCACCATTTAACCCACTCTTTGAGAGCCGAGGCCATCTTGGATGCAACACCATGCTGACTTAAAACAGAAGTCCGGTCTAATCCTATTTAAGCTTGATCCTGCTCACCCCCCCCCCCCATTCCAAGCCCTTTACTAACTAGGCAGCAAAGGAAAGATGTACATACTTACCGAATCTAAGGGTGCTCCGGTCTGGTCATGTGATCTCCACAACGGCTGGTTTCAATGTAGAGAGAGAACAGCGACAATGCCTGCAGGGCCTGAGCGATGACGTCACCCATAGACTTACCATGGGGCCATCTGTTGTCCACTGACCCTAAAGCCGGCGCTGGGAGCCAATCATGTGACCAGACCGGAGGGCCCTTATAATAGGTAAATATAGATATCTTTCCTTTACAACACAGTTGTCAAACTGGTGGCCCTCCAGCTGTTGCCAAACTACAAGTCCCATGAAGCATTGCAAGATTTACAGTTAAAAGCATGACTCCCAAGGGCAGAGGCATGATGGGACTTGTAGTTTCACAACAGCTGGAGGGACACCAGTTTGACACCCCTGCTTTACAAGGTAGTTAGTATAGAGCTTAGAATAGGGGAGGAAACAGGTTTAAGTTTAGATAGGTTTAGGTTGGACTTCTACTTTAAGATAGAATGCTGAATTGGTCAAAATTTGAGCCATGGATGGCCTTGAAAGCACCACCCAGTTCAAAAGTCATTTTAAAAATCCACTGAGACAGATGGAAAATTACCGGCCAAACTGTGACTCCAGCCTATCAGATGCAGTCACGGATTGGCAGTACCATTGCACTTAGTCAGTCGCAGCTCCAGGAGCTGCTGCTGAATACAATAGCTGGCAGTAGAGACTTTTCCATCTACACAATTTAGCTTGGAGAAAAAAGAGAAAACAGATATATATGGCTAGCTTTACAAGCATAGCAATACACTCATTAGTACGGCAGTGTAAAATTCTTCCAATAACATTGAGCAGTTATGAGATATTCCTTATAATATACATGCACACCCATTGCAGAGTTTAGGAAGTCACTGCTGAAGGATTGGCCATGCTCTATGGAGAGCGTTCTATCCCAAAGACATTACACAGGTGCCCATAGACACTGCCAGGAGAGAACACAATCTAGAGCCAAAATAAACATTGCGCCTACCCCCATTAAACACTAGACGATAGGCAATAACAAAGCTAAGTGTCTGTTTCTAAGGACAGATAGGACCGTGCCAAGCAGAGAGAACACAAACAGTATGCAGAAGAAGTCTATAAAGACAATATAAATTACCTAGTGTTTAAATTAGTAATTTGTGCTTCTCAGCTCATAAAGGTTACACTCTTGTTGGCAGCAGAAAGGTCGGCAATATTAGAGTATGTTAAATTTTATAACGCAAAACACACTTTTTAAAAACCTATAACATTATTCAATAAATTGCCTTTTTAGCTTTATTTTGCAGTCACGTGACAGCACAGCCTTTCTGTTCATCTCTGTTTTCGACCGCAGAGGGTGTGTCTGTACCGCCCGAGGACGGGTTGTGAAATGGCGTGTACTTCAGAGGGGAAATACAGTGGGGATCGAAAGTTTGGGCACCCCAGCTAAAAAATTGTATTAATGTGCATAAAGAAGCCAAGGAAAGATGGAAAAATCTCCAAAAAGGCATCAAATTACAGATTAGACATTCTTATAATATGTCAACAAAATTTAGATTTTATTTCCATCATTTACACTTTCAAAATAACAGAAAACAAAAAAATGGCGTCTGCAAAAGTTTGGGCACCCTGCAGAATTTATAGCATGCACTGCCCCCTTTGCAAAGCTGAGACCTGCCAGTGTCATGGATTGTTCTCAATCATCGTCTGGGAAGACCAGGTGATGTCAATCTCAAAGGTTTTAAATGCCCAGACTCATCTGACCTTGCCCCAACAATCAGCACCATGGGTTCTTCTAAGCAGTTGTCTAGAAAACTGAAACTGAAAATAGTTGACGCTCACAAAGCTGGAGAAGGCTATAAGAAGAAGTCAATATCCTCTGTTCGGAATGTAATTAAGAAATGGCAGTCATCAGGAACAGTGGAAGTTAAAGCAAGATCTGGAAGACCAAGAAAAATATCAGACAGAACAGCTCGCAGGATTGTGAGAAAAACAATTCAAAACCCACGTTTGACTGCACAATCCCTCCAGAAAGATCTGGCAGACACTGGAGTTGTGGTACACTATTCCACTATAAAAGGATACTTGTACAAATATGGTCTTCATGGAAGAGTCATCAGAAGAAAACCTCTTCTACGTCCTCACCACAAAAATAATTGTTTGAACTTTGCAAATTAAAATATAGACAAGCCTGATGCATTTTGGAAACAAGTTCTGTGGACCGATGAGGTTAAAATTGAACTTTTTGGCCGGAATGAGCAAAGGTACGTTTGGAGAAGAAGGGGCACAGAATTTAATGAAAAGAACCTCTGTCCAACTGTTAAGCATGGGGTTGGATCAATCATGCTTTGGGGTTGTGTTTCAGCCAGTGGCACAGGGAACATCTCACGAGTAGAAGGAAAAATGGATTCAATAAAATTTCAGCAAATTTTGGGTGGTAACTTGATGCCATCTGTGAAAAACCTGAAGTTAAAGAGAGGATGGCTTCTACAAATGGATAATGATCCTAAACACACCTCGAATCCACGGGGGATTACATCAAGAGGCGTAAACTGAAGGTTTTGCCATGGCCTTCACAATCTCCTGACCTCAACATAATTGAAAATCTATGGATAGACCTTAAAAGAGCAGTGCGTGACAGACAGCCCAGAAATCTCAAAGAACTGGAAGACTTTTGTAAGGAAGAATGGGCAAAGATACCTCAAACAAGAATTGAAAGACTCTTGGCTGGCTACAAAAAGCGTTTACAAGCTGTGATACTTGCCAAAGGGGGCAGTACAAGATATTAACTCTGCAGGGTGCCCAAACTTTTGCAGACGCCATTTTTTTGTTTTCTGTTATTTTGAAAGTGTAAATGATGGAAATAAAATCTAACTTTTGTTGACATATTATAAGAATGTCTAATCTGTAATTTGATGCCTTTTGGAGATTTTTCCATCTTTCCTCGGCTTCTTTATGCACATTAATACAAATTTTTAGCTGGGGTGCCCAAACTTTCGATCCCCACTGTAGATGTATTTTACTTTTTAAGTTTACACTTTCTTTAAACTGACATTTGTTTGTTTTTCACAGATAATTGTGGTTTTCTAAATGCACAATACAGCACAAGATGATTCCTTTCAGACTCTCTGTCTATGAACGCAGCTATCAAAAGGGAGGGGGAGGAGTCACTGCAACAACTCTCATTGCCGTGATGGAAATTTAAGCTTAAGCTATTGAGCTCTGTAAACAAAAGGTTTTTTTTCTTTGTGAAGCAAATAAAGATAGACAAGCAAACATCTGCTGGCTTGAAATTAAAACAAGGAATTATTCAGTTGCAATATTCAGTTGCAGTAATTCATGTTTACCTGACAAGAAAGATTAAAATAGTTTAAAAAAATATTAAATAAGAGAAATAGCAGCAAAACCACTAAGCAGTCCATTTAAGAGTCATTTTACTTTACGGTTTCCCTTCCCTCACTCTCTAGCCTAAAGCTGCAGCCTATCCTGTAACAGAAATTCTTGCAGCAGTTGCTCATGACAAGTCCTGACTGCACTGCCTCATGGCTGTCCATAGGTGCAATCATTTGAAGAATTACCATAGAAAATATATATCTGCTAATATTTAAAGCACAAGACATCAGCAAAAAATGACACATCACCCAAGTGTTTGAGTGGTAGACATATATTGCCGTCCATTCACACAACTCAATCAGTATTTCTGACAATTCAATAAGGACCAGAACTAGTTTACAAAAACATTGCTAGGTGTATGGTCTAAAGGATGGAGATGACTAATCGTCACTTTAGAAAGAAATTTAACAACCGATAAAAGTACTAATAGGCTTTCCTGAAAACAGGACCGATCCATAAACATACCCACTAAACTGAGATGTTCATGGCTCGGAGTTGATGGCAGACAACTGATGCGCGGCAAAGTGAGGCCACTGCTGCTTCGTCGCTTTAAATAATTAAAGTGTTGCTACAGTCAAAACATGGAAATGAGATGACAAATTTGACATTGCTCGCTGACCTTGAGCTTTTACCTGATTGCTCTAGCTACGGTGTTGAGACTAAAACCACGTCCATAGATACCATGTACTTGATAATGTTGCATGTTCTTGTCCATTACAACTCTGACGCACTAGTGTATTTAAAGACAAGAACCTTTTTTTCACCTTTTGATACAATGTGGAAGGATTAGAACCTCTGTCAGGTTTTTATTGCAGAGGAGATTCTCCCCCACTATTGGTCCTGGTGATCATTGTCCACAGTACAAAAAATGATGGAAAATTCAAAGCTACCTTTGCAGTGAGACTCCCCCTGTTAAATGCGCGTTATCTCCTAGGGAACCATTAAAAAGCAATTTTACTTATCTTACCCCTCACTCCCCCAACAGCCAGCACATTCCACTTCCCTCCGAAGCTCCAAGTTGTGACCTTTGGCATCCTCACTTACAATGCACATTTATTGGTCCTGCATTGTACATGATGAAGTCAGAGTACAACCGAAAGATGAATACAGCACCAAGAGAAGAGGCTTCAGAGGGCCGGTTGAATGGAAAGGAGTAAGACTGGAGGAGTGAGGAAATGGTAAGTAAAACTGCATTTAAAATTTACAAAAATGAGCATTTGATTCTTGCACTGCTGGGGAAGCCCCACAGCAAGGTAAGTGTTGAATTATTCCTAGATTTCATCTTTAACATTTTTGAGCTGTTACAGGAATAGAACTAAAGGAAAGTTTTTTAATTGGCACATATGTTTTGATGGCAGCTAAGAAGGGATAGCTCCTTTCTTACGTACTATTATGGCCAACTATGTCCTCATTCACATGGGGTGTATCAATTTGTACCTCGTGCAAGGGCCATGTTTACCTGCATGAGGATGCACAGGCGTTCCATGTATTCCCATGTAGGCAGTCCCGTTGATGTGGGTATACAAAATGTGCTGCGCTATAATTTATAAAAAAACATTTGTGACAATATTTGAAGTGTCCAAACGCTAGACTCTTGGTGAAATTATTGCCAAAAGGGAAGAATGAATCTTCCAAGAACCTCCTCCAATTTGTACTCCAAACACAAGACTCTTTGTGAAATTATTGTCAAAAGGGAAGAATGAATCTGCCAAGAACCTCCTCCAATTTGTGCTCCAAACGCAAGACTCTTTGTGAAATTGTTGTTAAAAGGGAAGAATGAATCTTCCAAGAACCTCCTCCAATTTGTGCTCCACTACCAGAAGAGACTTAAGTCTGCTTCCCAGATGGGTATGACTCTCATACCATCAAGAGTCATATCACGCTTTTTTAAAGATCCATACAGGTCATCATTCCTGGTCTCCAGGCATCTCTTTCTGGAAAAGGTCTCTCTGAAGCAGGGAATACTTCCACAGCTCCTGTCAGGTAGAGGGTGAGTGCATGCAGGTATGTACCCAGAAAAAGAGAATCACATGTTCCACGAACAATTAAAACATAAGCAGCACTGCATATAATGACCAAACTCCTGAATACTCCGCATTTCCCAGCTAAACATGATAATGTCACAACAAGCTCCCCCCCACGTGTTCCATCAAAGATTACATCTTCTGGGGTATACGTAGGACAGAGCCCATAGTGATGTCATCCCATTTACCGGAAGTGAGCTGGAAGTGCGGAGTATTTGAGAGTTTGGTGCTTATATGCAGAGCTACTTATCTTTTATTTGTCTGCAAGTGCAATTTTAGTAGTTTTAATTAAAATTAAAGTCCAATGGTTTGCACACTTTAACATTGTAACACATTTTTTTTTCTGGTTAAATTATAGTGCAGTACATTTTGCATACCTATAGATGGCTGTGATAAATATCTAATAGAGTGCTTGCAGCTTTTATATTAATTTCAACTGTTCCACAAGCGCAGTAACCACTTTTTGAATTGTTTTAGTTCTACTGATGTCTATTGAGATGCATAGGCTGCATGGACATAACTGCTGCTCCTAAGTTGATATCTGTGTAAGTATATGGTGCCAAATTTGCTGTACAGAGATCAAAATTCAGTAGGGACCAAACGAATTTCAATCCATGCATAAGCACTGTGGTTGAACAGAAGTCAATCTACCAACTGACTTTTGTTTTAACGTCCTGTCAGAAAAAATTTGCTCAATCAGCACTGCAGAAGTTATACCTGGAAAGTGTGTGTTTGTGATGTCCGAAAACTCTCCGCACTGCTCATCACAAAGCTACCCTGATGTAAACACATCATCAATAGAATGTTTCTCACAGCCACCTAACAGATTCAAGCTTGCCTTTGAAATTTGAATGCGATTGTTAAAGTAGGAAACAAAACTAAAGTTGCACAGCACAGGCTTCAGGAAGTACAGTCCTACTTCCCTTTTCCTGACCCTGTCAGATGGTCTGTGTGCTGTGGTACAGTGGATTACAGAAAATTCAGATAAAGATAAATTGAGTGAATTTTCTCATTTTAGTATAACTTCAGTATGTTAAAATGTGTTAATAGGTCAATGACTATTTAATTGGTTGATTAAGTAGCTTTGGAGACTTGTTCATGAAATCGCCTAATGTGTCAAAGTAAAAATGTTAAAATATGATGCTGGCTTATACGCTGTAGCTTTCCTGTAAATTAAAATAATAATAATAATAATGGTATATTAGATACACACTTAGCCCCCCTACTCCACCTTTACTCAGTCCCCTGCGTACAGTTTTCGGTGGTCAGTGGTGGAACAAGAAGGAAGCTCAGACATCTCCTCAGTACTTTTATGGTCAGAAGTTGTGGAGATATTGCTATCCTGATCAGTTACTTCCTCCGACATGTCTTCCATTTCCTCCTCCTTTTCTTCTTCCGATTCCTCTTCTCTCACATCTGCAGCTTTCTTTATTGGGATGAGGCTGGCCAACAACATAGAAGGCCCCAAAAGCTGATGATCAATGGAGTGTAGCTTCCCCCCACGTCTCCTCTGAACAGCAAAACGAGGACTCAGGCCCGGAGTGGTGGTACTTGACCTCCTTCGCCCATCTCTCCTTCCCCCGCGTCCTGATGTCATCAAACAAGGAGGGAGAGGCTGTGTGACAGAACATCGTCGTTGCATAGAAAGAGAGGAAGATGCCAGGCCAACACTGGATCTGCGGCGTGCTTTTCCGGTGGTAATAACCACATTGCACCGCCGCAAAGTTGGCGGACATGATGTCTCTGTGGGTGGAGGAGCAGCTTTTTTTCTGAAATGTCTTTTAAAAAATGCGTCCATTGTGCCCTCGTTGAAGAGGGGGTTAGGTAGAATGTGGTCAGCAGAGGAAGGGGCTGTTGGTGTAGAAACCACCAAGTTAAAATGCAGCAAAGCTTCAGAAATTATCATTAGTTCAGAGCTACAGAAATATCTAACCGAGTGAAATTAAAGGACAGATCCACATCAAACTAACAAGTGGGTACCAGTGAAGGGAAGGCAGTCAGTGTAGTGAATACATTTCACCCATGAAACCAATTTTCTTACTCCTTAGACTAGCTCCATTTTTGCATGGAAACAGCCTTTCTCAACATTAACATAGAAGAACCCTTAAAATAACTTTCAGGTCTCAAAATCGACAAAAAGATCATTAGTGTTAGTGGTTAAAGGTAGAGATTGCACATTGCTCAAGGAACCAATGGCAACCTTTGGAGAAACCATAGCTGAGAAAGGCTGGTTTCAATACAATATAAAGCCATTCCCTGGGCTCACAAAAAATGAATGCTGCAGAGAACAGGGCCAGGTCATTATGTGGCACCATTCTCTGGAACATTTAGGACCTGCCCATGGATATAGGAAGAAGAGAAGAAATTAGACTAGTGATGTCACGTAATGGATTGTCTTAGGACCCAAAGAAGCATAAAGCAAAGCAGGTCCATGGGTCACCCAAAATAAAAAAAAAAGGATAAAGAAATCTATAGAACTGGAATAAAAACATGTTTCTAATGAAAGTAAAATGCAGAAAACCAAAGCCAAACTACATGAGTCCTTATACTGGGCCACACGTTAAAAATGAATTGTACAGCTTAGGTACAATCCACTTTAGATTTACCAACAGTAGTGTGAGGGCCAATAAACTTTATAAGAGACTGCCCTTAAAAATGGGCATGTGAGCGATGTAATTACTGAAAATTCAGTTCCACTTTAAAGCCCATCTCCAGGGAAAGAACAAATGTTGCCTTGCTGTGGAGCTGTCCCCACACTGGAAGGGTCAAATGCTTGTTTAGATTTAGGGTAGCCAGAAAAGGTGGTTTCACTTACCCGATCCTAAACTCCTGCAGGAGCAGACTCTCTCCTCTATGCCCCAGCAGTGGAATGTCTCTTGGGGTCCTCCCTTCCCATGCATGGATATGGGCTCAGAATTGGACTTGATGGTAGAGGACCTACTACCACCAGAGCATAGGGGGAAAAGAGACTGCGGGGAAGGGTCTTACTGTCTGGAGGGAGCAGAGGAGCGGATAAAAAAAAAATATTTTGCAGCCACCGTTGGTCAGCAGGTTTTATTTAAGTCCCTGTCCCCGGGTTTTGGCGCGCATCTTGGCTAGTGTAGGGAGAGAGACCCCACTTGTGAGGAAAAGTAACTAGCGGCAGGAAAAGGTTCCTGACCAGAAGGAAAGATTAGGGACTCACTATCCTAGAAAGGAGCCTCCCTCTTGGGACCGGACTGGCCAAGCAACGGTTCACCCTATGAAACGTACACTGTCTTCACCTCTCATCCTCTACATCTGACTACACTGAACTGTGAGCGGTTTCTCTAGCAGTGCTCTCTTGGCAGGGTGTTGGAACAGAATGCCAATGTTACAAAGTTTTACTGCAACCGGACTCTGTGTATTTACTACCTGCACCACGCTGCACCTCCTTACATACTTATAAACTAAATTTATCGCTCCCACCAATCCCTGCTTGTTAATTTAACGTGGAGCTGCCCCTTAAGCACTCTATTTCAATTAACAATGACACATTGTATGCATTAGCTTGTCCATAAACCACATTTCTTTACATTACAATGTGAAGCAATAAATTGCAAGCTATCCAGCACCAGAAATGCATTGGCTAAATCCAGAGCGCAATTAAACTCAGGAGATTGGAACCAGTCTGTCAAAACAGAAACACGTGGGCTGCAGAGCTGGGACAAAAGCAATCCAACTTCCTCCTCTATTGGGCAGAATACACAGATAAAGAAATTATTTCCAGTTTTTTTTACACTGACAACATATTCTTTTGATCTTCTGTTATTTACAACAGCCCCCTGTAATTAATATAATGTCCCCACCACAATCACACACACAGAGGTCACTGAAGCCTAGATGCCCAGGCCAAATTTAGCAGCATCAGTTAAGAAGACTACAACTCTATGGCTCTATGGACAAATATATAAAGTATGTAAGTTTGTATACATTTATTATAAACATTTTAATGTATCCTTTTTAATACTGTGCTTTGTCAGACAATTACAGTATTAAAGAAACACTGCCATCTACAGGGATAGTAACATGTCATTATGGGACATTATGCAGGGCAACCTTAAAAAGAAAACTCACTGCTTGACTTACCTTCACTCCAGCGCTGCGGTGACCATAGGTTTCCTCTTCACTGTAGACATCTTTGCCCTGCTTCATAGTCTTTAGCCATCTTGTTTGGCTGGCTCGAAATGATGCAACTCCCACGCAGGAGCATGGGAGTTAATTCATCCAAGCACCAAGGAATGTCAAAACTGAGCCCAGTGTACAAGCTTTGGAAATTGCTACTTTTTTTCAATGCTGATGTTCCACTTTAAAATATAGGTTGTGGTTAGGAAGGGAGTAATTTAGGTAGAAGACAACCGAAAAGTAAAATTTGTAAGGAAATGCAAGTACCGAGAGGAAACATACACAGAAACACAACTCCATGCAGATAATGTCACTTTTGAGATTTGAATCCAAGTCACCAAAGCTGTAAGACTTTAAGGCTATCCCTCTAAAATTATGTTACCTAGTTTGATCAACAAGACCTACAAGGCCATTTACTATAGAGGAACTACAGGCTGACTGATAAAAGTCTAAGAGCCTAGGGCCCAAAGCACCTAAAACAGGCAATCTCTACATTTTCTTTTATAATGATATCAATGAAGGTGCTCCATGGCTCCTCAGAAGTGTGTCATAGCTCCCAGGTCTAACTACCCAACTCTTGAACTATTAAGCGTATGTATGGTCAAATTCTAATATCATTTATTCATTTCAATTCTTTCTAGACCACTCTATCAATCAGAAGGATCCTGAAGTTTATAAATGTACTTTGTGAAGATCCTCATATAGTTACCTTAATTCTGTGACACATAGTCACTATGCCCTGTGAGTAGGCACTGCCGTGTCACACATTTCACAGAGCCTGCCTTCTGAACTACAGAGGTGCTGAAATGAGAAGTTTGAGGAGGAGGAGTCAGCACAGGGATCACTACTTGCGGCGAGCAAGGTACTATGGGATATGTAGTCCTTTGAAATCAAAAGTAAACAGCAGAGGAGAAACGGCAAAGCATGCAGGGAATCCAGTAAGTTGTGGGAAAGAATGACCACCAGACAGGCAGAACTCACAACATGAACGGAGAGTTTTCAAGTAAACTTACATTGGATTGTCAAAAATAACGGTTGTTTATGTTACTATGACAATGCTCATGTTATAGAATAAAGGTTAATGATGTTATCATAGGACTCCTTTAATAGAATATACTATACTCACCTAGTTAGATGCAGCATCAGTCCCCTGCAGTTTCTAAGAGTGAGAACTGAGTAAATAGACTGCTGATTGCTCAGTTCTTGGTCTTCAGAGAGCCGGTGATTGTCAGTCAGCGGCTCTCTGCTCTGCTCCTCCAGTGCTCACTAGACCACCAGGCTGTGGAAGGGAAGGGCAGTGTGCTCAGAGGATGAGTCCAGGCATCTGGATGGATCCTGACATTAAAGCAAAGGTCCAGTTGGAAAAAAAATAAATAAAAGTCAGCAGCTACAAAAACTGTAGCTGCTGACTTTTAAAAAACGGACACTCACCTGTCCCGCAATCCCACGGTGTTCTCACATCAGCTGGGTTGATCAACAGTCTTGTCTCCTTGGCGCTGCACTTTGTGATTGGTCCCATAGTCTTCTGGGACCTGTCACGTGGGAGGGAGAGGGGGAGGACAACTTACGCTTTCGATGGCCTAGGCGATTGCAGCGGAAGTGAGAGTGGGTACCTGTCAAATTCGGATACACCCTCCTACCCCCCCACCCCCCAAAAGGTGCCAATTCTTAATGGGGCTTAAAGCAGAGTTCCACTTTTAAAGTCTGGATCTCTCCAGAGCCTGGACCAGCACCTTTTCACAGATTTTAGACAGCGTTCCAACTGTTTTGGAATTGGAGTTGTACCTGCTGATCTGCCAGAAATGGACTATGAGTCTAAGTCTCGTAGTCGACTGACAACATGGAGCTCTTTTGTGAATCGAGTGTTGTCAGCCCTGCCCACTGACTTTTCCTAAACTGCTCACACCACACCAACTCTCAGATTTCTACAACATAAAAGCCAATCATTTTGTAGTCCAAGATAAGAAATGGGAGGGTGAGATAGCCACATTGAGATAGTACAGGAAGTGTGCAGAGAACACAGGATAGCTCTTAATTTCTGACAAGATCGACAGTTTTTTTTTGCACTTCCCAAAACAGACATAACAAATTGCTTTCAATGGTATATTTCAGAGACCAAAAGAAAGCAAATGAAAAATGTTCATTATTAGGGTTAACAATCGCTTTAAGTGAAGGTTCTGAATGAAGCACAGACTCAGTATTCACTGGATAGTATTGTCAGTG